TATTGTGCATTTATTTTGGCTTTGCCATTACTCTAAAATATTGTGGAAAGACTTTTCCCTATTTGTTAGTGAGAACAATGATAAGGATTTTTCTTTACTTTGGGAAAATGTTTTGTTTGGAATTGTTAATTGGAAAAAAGAACATTTACTGAAAAACAAAATATACTTACTTCATGGAGAAAATCTTCTTATTTTATTAACCAAATTGTATATACATAAATGTAAATTTTCAGGTAAAAAAACACTGTTTTATGTTTTGCTTGCTGAATTGCAGCATTACTTTGGAACTATCTTTAACTCGTGTAACAAGAAGGCTTTAAAAACAATTAAAATTTGTAAGTCTTTTAATCTTTTCCTTTGATGTGATATTTTGTGACTAGTTATATACCCCTGTTTTGTACCCTGTAGTTTTTTCCCCCTTTTTTTCTTATTATTTCTTTTGTTCTATATTGTGACTGCTTTTATCTTTGTCTATATAATGTTCTTAATAAAAAATTAAAAAATAAATAAAAAGTTTGGGTTCTGGAGAACTGGGAGTCCAAGATGGTGTCTTGCTAACTTAACTTTCGCCGAGCTCTGCTGACAAACTTTTATAACGGCATAAATATCATTGCTTAAATTTTATTTTTTTTGCACAAAATCACCCACATTTATCTTTCTGCTTTCGTTGAGATTCGAAATATGAAGCCGACCGCTGACAAAAGGAAAGGGATGTCGCGTGTTTCCCGGCAATCTGACAAGATGGACTTTCACAATTATGGAGCTGTAGAAGAAACTCTGGCTGGGGCCAAACCCCCTCTTCCAGATAGCCCAGCTAAACCTCCATCCAAAAAGGGAAAGGCAGATGATGATAGCTCTTCTGTTGTCTCAACGCTCTCAAATCTGATTAACACTCGCTCTGACACCATAGAAAAATGGTGAGTGAAAATGCCCTAAAAATCGAAGGATTAAAAAAACGGTGGACTTCGTATGTGCTGAATTAAACAACATTAAAGGTAAAGTCAGTCATGTTGAGACAAGATTGAAAGTTGAAGAGAAGAAGACGGTATTCTGTGAACAACGTCTCACTGACTTGGAAAGATACTTCCGTCGTTGGAATCTACGTTTACATGGTGTAACTGAGAAGGAAAGAGAGGATGTAAGAGCGGAATCCATCCGTATCTGTGAAGCTACGTTCCCTGAAGGAGGAAGCAACCTAGCAGACTAAATCGACAGTTCATCGTGTGGGAAAGAGAATACAGAATAGTTCTCGATCGCGACCCGTCGTTATTCAATTTTCTTCGCGAGTGACAAGGGACGGAGTGTGGAGGGCAGCGAGGACGTCGGAGTTTCTTCGTGCCAATCAACTGCGCTTCACTGAGGATCTCATCACGTCGGATCGGGAAAGAAGACAGCTGCTTTGGCCTGCTATAGATAAGGATCGAAAGGAGGGAAAGAGGGCTCACTTCGTGGGAGGTCGTGCCTTTGTTGAGGGATCTGAAATGCATCCACAGAGAGAGTATAGGCTACTATGTGTCAAAAAGTTTGATTTATTGCCCCTCATAAACCCCCCCACCTCCTACCATAAATGGACACCTGTTTGGACACCTGTTTCTGTACACCCCCACCCATCTA